ACAAATGGAAAAACATACCATGCTCATGGCTGGGAAGAATCAACATTGTTAAAATGTCCATACTACCCAAAGCAATATATAATTTTAATGCAATCCTCATTAAAGCTCCACTGTCATACTTTAAAGATCTAGAAATAATAATACTTCATTTTATATGGAATCAGAAAAAAACTCAAATAGCAAAGACATTACTCAGGAACAAAAACAAAGGAGGAATTACATTACCAGACTTCAGACTATACTATAAATCGATAGTGATCAAAACAGCATGGAACTGGCACAAAAACAGAAAGGTAGATGTATGGAACAGAATGGAGAGTCAAGAGATGAATCCAGCTACTTACTGTTATCTGATCTTTGACAAGCCAATTATAAATACTGAGTGGTGCTGGGCTAACTGGGTGGCGACCTGTAGAAAACAAACTAGACCCACACCTTTCACCATTAACTAAGAGAGACTTTCACTGGATTAAAGATTTGAACTTAAGACATGAAACTATGAAACTACTAGAAGAAAGTGTAGGGAAAACACTTGACGAAATCGGACTGGGCGAAAATTTTATGAGGAGGACCCCTCGCGCAATTGAAGCAATGTCAAAAATACACTTTTGGAACCTGATAAAACTTAAAAGTTTCTGCACAGCCAAGAACACAGTAAATAAAGCAGGTAGACAGCCCTCAGAATGGGAGAAGATATTTGCTGGTTTTGTCTCCGACAAAGGTTTAATAACCAGAATCCATAGAGAACTCAAACGTATTAGCTAGAAAAAAATAAGCAATCCCATCTCAGGGTGGGCAAGGGACTTGAATTGAAATTTCTCTAAAGAAGAGAGGTGCGTGGCCTACAGATATATCAAAAAATGCTCTCCATCAGAGAAATGCAAATCAAAACTACTTTGAGGTACCACCTAACCCCAGTAAGATTAGCCCATATTACAAAATCCCAAAACCAGAGATGTTGGCGTGGATGTGGAGAAAAAGGAACACTTCTACACTGCTGGTGGGAATGCAAATTAATTCGTTCCTTTTGGAAAGACATCTGGAGAACACAGAGAACTAAAAATAGACCTGCCATTTGATCCTGCAATTCCTTTATTAGGTATATATCCAGAAAACCAAAAATTGAATTACAACAAAGATATTTGTATCAGAATGTTTATTGCAGCCCAATTCATAGTTGCTAGGTCATGGAAGAAGCCCAAATGCCCATCGACCCACGAATGGATCAATAAATTGTGGTACATGTACACCATGGAATATTATGCAGCCCTAAAGAAGGATGGAGACTTTACCTTCTTCATGTTTATATGGATGGAATTTGAAAATTTTCTTCTTAGCAAAATCTCAAGAATAGAAGAAAAAGTATCCAATGTACACAGCCCTACTTTGAAACTAATTCATAGCTTTTATAGGAATGTCATAACCTAATTATAGCCTTAGAATATGGGAAGGGGGTGGGAAGGGGAGGTGAGAGGGGTGAATAGGGGGAGGGAGGGTGATCGGTGGGGTCACCTCTACAGTTTATTTACAAGGGTACAAATGAATCTTTCTAAAAGCAGAGTATGAATGTCTTAAATCAATAACTAAGAAAATGACAGGAAGGTTATGTTAACCAGTTTGATGAGAGTATTCCAAAATGTATATGAAAATAGCACAATGTACCCCATGATTGCATTAATGTACACAATTATGCTATAAGAAATAATAAAAAAAATTCCAGGACAGCATAAAACCTGCCAGAGCTCTATAACCTTCCTTTACTTAGGACTACAAAGTGCCCAGTTGGAATATATCTCATTATGGATTAAAGAAATATTGGATAAATGCATAATACCCTAAAAGCTATCTCAGGATTATTTTGATTACAACAGTGACACTCAGTAGACATTGCCAAGTTTCAAAGATTATTATTATTACCCAACTGTCCACCCTGAAGGCATTTTCATGCCAGGGCTCCCTGATTCCCTAGTAATCAACAGTTCAAATGTTAGTGCTCTGGAACCTAAAACCCATATCCTTTCTGATTTTCCACCTGTGTTCTGTGCCAAACAAAACTCTCATCCTTTTTCTTGTTGTTGCTCCATTAACTCAGGACTCAAGAAGGTCACCCTGTGTCCTCCATGCATGCCTCACTTCCTGATCTGCCCAGGAAGTCTGAACAAAGAGGGGGATCAAACACATGGGCATCCATGGGGACCACCCAATGGTGCTGACTCCACCCCTCAGCAGGACAATCTCACAAGAAAAAGGAGTTGAGATGGCGATGGGGATGCTGAAGATGGTGCTTTCATCACCATTTAATAATATACCATTCTCGAAATCAACCCAAACCCTGGTGTCTGGGACATCTGCAATATTAACATGATCTTTATGGATAAAGAGCTAAAACTTAAAACCACTTCATGATGTACCGAGAACATACAAAAACACACCTGCAGAGAAATAATGTAATTTGAAGACTAAAATTGTTATCATTTTAGTCATTCAGATGAAAGAAAATCAGAGGCATACACAGTTTCCTTAAAACACTGAGTGTCTGAGGCAGGGTTTAACTCAGCCTGAAAGTAGGACGTATTTTCTTTAATCGCCATGATAACTACCTACACATGGCCCACAGGACTCAGTTTGATCTAAGAATTATGACTGATATCACATGAGCTATTCCCAAACTCAACTTTCAGAAACAGCAAGTCAAACAAATTATACTTTTTCTGTATTTTTAAAAACAATTAGCATCTTTGCATTCTATTAAAGAATTTAAAAATATTTTATCAAAGTAATATGTGTCTAGCTGGACATTGTGGCGGGCGCCTGTAGTCCCACCTACTCGGGAGGCTGAGGCAAGAGAATTCCCTAAGCCCAAAGTTGGAGGCTGCTGTGAGCTGTAACACCACAGTACTCTACCAAGGGCGATAAAGTGAGACTCTGTCTCTAAAAATACTACTACTAATAGTAATAATATTAAGTCACAGTTGCAAACCAAATAATTTGGAAGAGATGGTACTTGAAATTCTCTTCAAATTTTTGCCACTCCCAATCACACTTTTAACTCATTCAGTTTTTTTGTTTGTGTTTTTAACATCAGCTGGTGGTTTACTTTAATGACTCTAACATTACGATGGACTTTTCAATAATGTGTATGTCATCACTGCTTTATTTACAAACTTTGAGGATAATTATGAACCCTAGAAAATACAGATTTAGTTTACTTATATAACCTTTCCCTCCTACTTAATTCTACAGCTGGTATTTCCATTTGAGTTCTGCTTTTACTTTTTTTTTTTTTAAACTTTTAATCAGTATCTGTCTGTCACCTTGAGTATTTGTGTCCCATCTTTTCTTCTGCTGTCCTTTCACCTCCCTGAACCTGAGAGAAACAGCATTCCTTTAAAATAAATCATCAAGGCTGCTAATATTCACATTCTCTCTAGTAAGTGCAACCCGTGCCTTCCACGTGAAGACGATTTGAAGATCAAATGTTGTGACATCATGATATCTAGTATGGGATACTTCATTTTAAGTCTGGCAATCATGCATCTTATTAAGTCACTTTTTGGGCAGTTGCATATTCTATTCAGAAGTAAGCAATGTTCCAAGACCTCAAACTACAGTACCTGTGACTTTCAGCTTTTCAGCCCCAATGGTAATCTCATCTTCATCTGCAGAAAACAGCACCCTGCCATCTTCACTGGCTCTCACTTCAAATCTTTTACACTGAGCTTCCACAGCATCAGCTCCTACGGTCAGAGGAAAGGTTTAAAGATGAAACTGGTATGCAGGAAAGCATGAACGTGTACTTGGTTTGAGAAAGAGACTAGAAAGGCATGTATTATTTGCTTTGTTTTTCTCTGCTATATGTTTTACATTTGATTTAACGTATCTAAATTATTGTCTTTTTCAGGAGGCCGTCTAATTGGTAGCATGGTTAGTTGCAGCCTAAGTTAGTTGAGCATGCAAGTGACCTCTAAATTTCTGGCATCTTCTTAATAAAGTCTATGGGTTAGCTGGTTAAAAACCCTCCACATATCCACAAGGAGAGATAATGTTTGCTTTGTTCTTTGTTGCAGGCTGAAGACTTGGCATTAAACTTGGCCCCTGCTGTAGAAACTGTGGACAGAAAGAGTGAGGCTTTCTCTCTATAGTTCAGACTACAGTAGCTATACGAGCTACATCACAGGCTGCTTGTAAAGCATTATTTACAATTCGCATTATTCAATTGTGAATATTTAGTTATTCTCCATTTCATAGAATCTCCTATTAATATTTTTCACCCTTTTGTCTAACTGAACTGGAATCCATTCTATGGTCAATCTCAAAATTACAGTTTTCTTAGCATTCTCTACTGTATCTTCTAAATAATGGTATTATTGAAATATAATTAAAGGATGAAATTGGAAATCTATTTCCAATGGTTCTGCCAATTTTGCAAATTAGTCTAAACCACGAAGGCGGTTCCTGTATCTGGAAAACATAATTAATTTGAGAGTTAGGAGAGCTTCATCAAGAAGATCTAGTCGGGCCTTCCAGATGAATATTAACTAAGAAAAAAGAAACTTGGGACAGTGGACGGGGTGAGAAATCGAAATTTCCATCACATGGATTTATTTTGCACAGCACATCTGGCACATGGGTGTCTATTTTCTGCTTCTGGTAAGATGTGAAACATGCCTCCTCTGCCATTTGTATCAGAAACTCTTGCCAGATACAATTCAGCCCAGCCAGAGATGTAGGCATGCCAGAATTTGTGCATGCTTGTTTTCATTTATATTTATGTATTATTTTTTATTAGATATATGACCCGCTCCCCCAGGAACTCAAACATGAGATCATCTTTGTATTAAAAAATGTCCCCAGGGGTGGCACCTGTGGCTCAGGGAGTAGGGTGCTGGTCCCATGTACCGAGGATGGCGGGTCTGAACCTGGCCCTGGCCAGAACTGCAACAACAAATAAAAAATAAATAAATAAAGAAGAATATGAAGTTTGGATGATATTGCAAAAAAAAAAATCCTCAAATTTAAAATCATGACTGGTTTCTAATGGCCCTTAATAAACACATGGTAAGTAGATCAGTGTGTTCTCTCTTTGGTCCCCAATCCCTCTGTAACATTATTCCTTTTTTTTTTTTTTTTGCAGTTTTTGGCCGGGGCTGGGTTTGAACCCATCACCTCCAGCATATGAGGCCAGCGCCCTACTCCTTTGAGCCACAGGCGCCGCCCATAACATTATTCCTAATCCTAGCTCATGGGCTGCAGAAAATTACACCTCCCCACTGTCACAGCCTTCGAGGACCATTACATAAGATGCAAAAACTCATTAAAAACCTTACAATGTGCCCAATAATTTCTCTGAAAACCAGACAAATATTTTCCTTATATTCTGAAATTACAAACACATTATTAGGGCCATATAGACAATGTGAACAGCTTTGACTAGGTCTATACTAAGTGAGATACAACTAGGGTTACATTTGTGGGCAGTCAAGTTCAAAACAGTGTGAGCGATATTTTAATAACCTGTTATCTTTTTCTCATTGTTAAAATAAAGACCTATCCTTGTAGAATTTCATGACATTATTGTGCAAAGCACGGATGTCTTTGGTTTTAGTTATTACATTTGATCTTGAAATCATTCCCTGAGCCACTTGTGTTCATCTGAGTAGGCTTTCTCCTAATCACAGCCCACTTTCACGTATTGTGCCCTAGTAACGTATGAACCATCATAACCCAACTCCTGGATGACGTTCAAAAAACCATGCTTGAGGACAATGTGTCAATATTGGGTTTTGAAGTCTGTATGTACAAATCTACCTCTGAGGGACTCAGGGATACATTAACTCTGAACGGCCTGAAAGATACCGTAGGTATTTCACATATAAAACCTTAACATGTCCACTCCATGGCCTCCTTCAAATATACCAAGCTGCTGAGCTTAATTCACCAGATACATCACTGCCTTCAGTGGCACTCAGATGTGTTAGACTACTTTATATACATACATGCATTAGCAAGGCTTTTCTTGGCATAATTCCTAATGCCATTATATGGAAGATCAATTTTTTAACATAAAAATCCTATGTTGTGTGTCATAAAATACATTAGAAGCGTAAGTGGAGGGGTGTCTGGATACAGTGAAGTGAGTTGAAATCTTAATTCATTAAATTTAAATAAGCCAAGGCAAATAAGCAAACACAAAAATATTTATGCACTCGGAATAGATGAGATGCATCTAAGCCATAAATAAATGCATGTGGAATCATCCAGTTGAAAAAATAGATATAAAAATTAATATTGCAGGCTACATTTCATTCACCATATTAGCATAATTACAGAAGGCAAAATTATAAGCAATTAGCAATGCATTGACAGTCAATAAATATTTTAGATTGGAAAAATAATTTTGATTATACACATATTGCATTTACATATATTGATTTTATCTGACTGGAAAACAGCAAAGTACGTTGCTATAGATGGAATGTTTTGCCCTCTCCAAATCTGAAGTTGAGACTTGATATCCAGTGTTGGAGGTGGGCTAAGTAGGAGGTGTTTGGGTCACAGGAATAGGCCATGGATGGCTCAGTGCCTTCCCTGGGGTAACGAGAGAGTTCTCACTTTATGAGTTCAAGAGGAGGTGATTGTTTAAAAGGGGCTGGCACCGCCCCTCCTCTGCCTTGCTCTCTCTCTCTCCAGGTGACACTCCTGCTATGCTTTTCCCGCCACCTTACCTGGAGGTTTCTTGAAGCCGTCCTGAGAAACAGAGGCTATACTCCTTATATAGTCTGCAGAAGTAGGAACAAACCTCTTTTAAACCTCTTCTCTGTATAAATTACCTAGCTCAAGTATTTCTTTATAACAATGCAAAATGGACTAAACCCATGTAGTCCATTATTGGAAATATTTATGCTTAATGTATAAGACATCATGACATGGATTTTATTGTGTCCTACATGCATTTTCTCAGTTCAGCTTAAACAGCAACTTGCTAATGAAACTGGCAAGACCAAAGGCTTCCTTAGGAAAACCTCTGGGGAAATGCATGTTAACCACTTCCAAATCGAACAAAGAGAAGCTTAGCAATGGCGTAAGAAAGTAAGTTTGCAGGCGAAAGAAAGAACATATGCATGCAAAATAATAAACTTCATAAAAGGACTCAAGGATTGAAGACATATCCAAATATTTTCTCTCATTTTTTAATGTTGCTCATGCATTCCCTAAATCCTATAACTACCATATATTTGCTGCTTCTTTTTTCATAGTAGAGTTTACAGGTTTCCTCCTATTAGTAATCCTTAACCCATATAAAGCATTATTATCAATGTGAGATAAAAGTTATTTCACACAAAGTCCAAAGTTTTTGCACCTGCTAGCATAGTTGCAATGATGGCTTCACAAATCTCCTTTCCTTTTCTTTCTTTTACGATAGTCCTGACACAAGATTCACTTGTCCAGAAATGCTGGGCAACTGCAGATGCAGATGTCAGTCTAGGGTACCCCTCAAACAGTTTCACTTTTTCTTGCCGTGTCGGGACGTCTCAACTTCACTTTGTTTCTTGGGAGCACTTCGCGGCATCCCCAGGGGCACGTCATGTAGGTTCCACAGTGTTGTTCAAGGTGTGTGTCGTTGCACTCACATAGTGAAAAGTACCAGAGAGCTGCAAGGGCTCACTTGTTACTCCGGTAGGCAATTTACTGGAGAGACAAACTGCCCAAATGCAGGAGGTACCGACATCACAGGGCATGTGCAGAAGACATTTGCGACACTTGAGCTCACGGCAGTAGCAACCGGCGGAGGCTACAGAGCCATCACAGTAGTACCGTGTAGACTGCAGTTAATTTGATGCAATTATGATTTCTCCTTTCTTTCAGTTTTCATGTTTCATTTTCTCTCTTTCCATCTATTGCTTCTCCGGCCATGCAAGTTACAAGCAGGCCAAATTATGAATTCTCAAAGAGGTTTTTCACCCTTTCCCAGATTCAAGAATGAGATATCTAAGATTCCATGTCAGTGTAGGGCGTTGGTCTTCAGTACAGGCTTCTACCTGACTGTGGTATTTTATGAAAGTGATTCCCCCTGAAACTAGTTTAGGATGTCTGTTTTTTATGAATGGGCTTCTTATTTCAACTATTTCTCTTGTACAAGGGCCAGGATGTATCTGTCCTTGTGAGGGCATTTTTCAAACCCCAGGCTAGATTATAGGCACCCTGCCAACGTTCTTCCACCAGCAACAATTTTAGTACAGTCACAACATCCTAAGTTTTCACTAAGGCTTCGGTGGGTTCTGACGATTTTGTTACATTTTATGTTCTAGGTTTAACTGTACATTTTAAGTAATGTGTATATGTGTGTGGGAGGGTTACATAATCAATGTGGTGACCCATACTACAACATTTGCAATATAATAGAAAGTCTATTATATAGCATCCCTGAAAAGGAAGTGCCTACCCTTTCTTCTCTTTGTCCCTAACTTTTCCAAACAAAACTCAGAAGTAACCATCTGGTGGGCTGACTGCATGCTAGGCAGTGATCTAGTATTTTACAAACAGAAATTAATTTAATCCCCATAACAACCATGGGATGTGATCCCCATTTGACCCTAAGGAAACAAAGGAGCGAAGGTTTAAGAAATCTGCCTAATATCTCACAAGTAACATATTGCAGAGTCAGGATTCAAGACAAGGAAATTGGACAGCAAACTGTAACATGTTGAGAGAGTCTGTGTGTCACTAAATTACACGC